TGTCGGAGGCAGCAACCCAGATCCTGGAAATCTTCGTCGTCCCACTTATTACCAACTCCACAACAATCATGGTCAAAGCAGCTTCCAATGCCTTCTTTGAAGGTGTCTACCCTGTGCGTGCTCATGTCTGGGGTATGGACAAGGGAATAACAGTGGAACGGAACAGCAAACCGGTTTTGACTCGCAGAAAGTGCGTGTGACTCCCACATTAATATGAAATGTGCTTGTAAATCAAAGTAGCATTTAGGATTTGCTGAGCGAAGTTAAATTTCTCGAGGACTGTCAACAGCCAATCGGGAATTTTTTACACTTGGTTCCTTTGCTGAGACTTCCCAGATAAATGACGTGGCGGACAACTTTGTCCCTAAGTTCCAATTAATCTACATTTCTTGGGTACCACACAACAGTACACACCATTCGGCAAATAATTGTCAGAACAAACGATCGACAAATAATTACCACAAGAAACGATCGTAGTTCAGTCACTTTTTTGTCCGTAACCAAAAAAATACTCTCAGAGATCGAGTTCCAGATTCCCTTTTCTAACGTAAGCCCACATTCCCAGCACAGGATAAAGCCAAGACTTGCTGAGAGCTTTTGATATCTCCATATGGGAACAAGTGACCTTGACCTATAGGATAAAGAGAGATTAAAACAGACTTCGGGGTGCTGCAGATGTGGTGACTGTCTCGAGTGGCGAGGATGAGGGAAGTTGAGTGGACGATGACGAAATCATAATTGGCGATGAACTATCCTGGCGAAACCTGACTATCACAGCGAGTCCGATTGTTTTGCTTGCGATAACTAACGCCCTAGTTCGTCAACATCTGCTCAACTCTAATCTGACTATTTTCAGCATGTCTTTGCTCCATATTTAAACGTGGACATTTGCTCCGTGAATTCCTCGAAAATCTGGAAGAATGGGACGCTTGTGATATTGAAAAACCAGATGAAAAGTGTTTGATTGGTGAGCGGTAGAGATAACACTGGGCCTAAACGACGAATGAGATGTCGATCATTTTGAATGCTTTGACTGACCACGAAGAAATAGTCTCCAGGGAAAGGAGAGCTGCTGAGATTTATCCTGATTTATTTATTGACGTGCATGATGCTATGAAGTTAATTGGATTGTTTTTGTGCAATGCATAGTGGAGAGGTGTTGTTGTCACAGCAAGGAATAACGTCGACGGCATCAAATACAGCAATACGTTGGCACCTCTACCTGCAATTTTCATCGACTGCTCCATCCAATTGTTCCATCAACCTGGCAACATCGATTAAAGACCAAACATATTTCCAAAGTGTCACCCTGGTGTTCAGCAATTCCACATCCGTTGTGAGTTTGATCTGGGAAGTATTCAATTTCAAACAGTAATTACAGCGTATTTGTGGCCTGTTTTTTTTCAGACAAAGAGCTTTGAAATGCAGCCCGTTTCTGAAGTGCAGGTTGAAGGGGCTGCAAGGCTATTAAACGCAGAGTCCTTGGCCGTTTGAGCTGGTAGATGCTGATGAAGCCTGATTTCTATAAAACGAGTTTAAGACGTATTCCTCTATGTTAGATTTGGTTTTCGTGTGCACCAGGAAGCGAACATTTCCACTGCCTACACCAGCTCTGATGCCTATCCATGGAAACTCATAAGAGCATCGACTAACCGACTTGAGGTCCTCCGACTAAATGAAGTTTATTGATCATCGTCAGTTGATGTTAGATCTCATAATGTTTGTGTAAACAATTGAAGACATGCAGAATCCGCAGAGAAGAGGACATTGGAAATATTCCACAGAGCATTTGTGTTATTTTAAACAATAAATTCTAAGCAGTAGACGTATGCAATAAATATTGATGTCCGCTACTTTAGTCGACTTCAAATAGAGTCAAGCATTAGCACTGCTTGTCCGATTAACAAATTATATGCCGCGTCAAATATGAATGGAAATTAAAGTAACCGAGAGATCTTGGTGTAAATTACAAGTAGTTTGTTAGAAATTTTCTATAACAGCATTGATTTGAATCCTTTTTCATTTTCTTTACGACGTTAGCCTCAGGCCTTCGGAGTCGCGACCCTAACCATGAGTAAAAATGGCCTAGTCCAGGAGGGAGGAATTGGAACTTTCTATGTTACACTCAAGCCATTCGCCGACTCTCTTTCCAACTACGTGCTGGAATGTAATGCTGAAGAACTCACCTCAAACCGATTGCTGTCCAGTAGACTTAGGTTCCGTTATTCGATTGGTTTCAACCTCGCTTACCCAAACGTCTACAACAACCGCGGCGAGTGTTCAGGGAATAGGGTCAATTTCGGCAAGGTGCTTAGTCCTTGTAAGCCCAAAACAACCGCTTTCACGATTTTTCAAGCTCAGTAGGCTTATTTGTGCCAATGACTTTTATTTTGCCATATTCCGTTTTTGGACGTATCAGGCAAATTGTAGGACTATAAGTGGGCTCAAATGACGCTCAATGGACACTTGGAAAAATGTATATTTGAGCAAAAACGAAGGATGCATGATGGAACGGAATATACTTGCAAGAGTTAAATAGATGTGCAAACTGCTATTCCTGCTTTCAGCCATATGCCTCATAACTGTAGTCATGACTGTGAATACTCGTTTTAGATCCTCAACAAAGCGGTGACCTACTCTTAGCCGAATTCTTCATTCTCGCCGACATTTCATCAATGTATCAGGGAAGCGTGAACTGTGAGCTGAAAATAGACAATGTCATTTCAAGAAGGTTCAACACAATATTTTTTTCTACGCCGACTACCGTTCCACTGGTGGTAAGCCTGATTTTTTTGTCTAAGTAAATAAAATCGCCACCGAATTTATCGGCTTCTGGGTAAAGATTGATTTTGTAGATGTTACAAGATACTTTCAATCTTTCTGAGGTTTTAGTAGGCCCTCTTTCACCACGCATTTACCTGAGAAGGTCACCAGGATCGAATAGGATGAATTTAATTATGTTTCATTGTGCCCACTCCTGGCCGAATATGATGATAAATCAGTAAAAGTGGGGAAGCTGGTAAAGGGACGGAAAAAACAGCTTGTATAAACGTATAATTACCTTTTATTTCTGTGTGTGCTGTGGAATCTTATTTACAAAGAACACTGTGACACTTTCATTTAGAGCTTTCTATACGTCTTCTGTTGTGTCCCTCACTTAGGTCGCATTCTTTCTAATGATCCGTCACTCTACTATCAAAGTAATGTAATCGACTGATCTTGAGGAGTAGTGAATGGGCAACAAGTGATAGCTATGCTTAATTTAATGACAACACACCCAAGTCTCCTCAACTTGTGACACCAAGTCAAAATCCCAAAGTCTATTTGGACCATCATCCACCCACCGCGAAGACTTCTTAGTCGCACAGCGAATCAATGAAGCGAGGCTTTAAAATCGCCTTACCTGGTTCATTCATGGGCCCATGAATTAGTGTAAAGCAGTAACTACTGGCATTGGGTTATTGATCATGGTATTTAGTAATGCATTTAACTTCAAAACAAGTAAAAACGACAAAGAGGCAGGAGCATAATCACTGAATGCATCGCAATGTTAAGTACCGTTCATTACTCGGTCTTCACATTGTCACATAACTTTTTAATTCTATCCTTTTAATTAGCCCACTCCATTAAACTCATCAACTTGGACTCTGAAAGTAATTGACGTGTTCACACAGACACCCCTCAGCAGACCACTTCTTCCGGGAGAGGTAGCTCTGATTGAGTTTGAGTTCACCGTGCCACCAAACACAGCCGTGAACGCAAAGCCTTCCATTGAGATCGCGAGTGGTGGTGATGCCACACTTGATTCCCCGCACATTCGCGCTGTCGGCGACAGCGTCTATTGGGGCGACAACTACCAAAATTGCATAGCAGCTGATGCCAAGTAGGCTGTTTGCCTGAATTCGTCACTCAAGTGAACTATTTTGATTCATGATTGCAATTTCTGACAGCTTCTTGAATTTAAACGATAATTTGTTTAAATCGTTTCTTTATGTTGATAGCTAACAAGGACATTTTTTTCTTATCGTGACATTAATGTTGGTTTTTTTCAGTAAAAAATAGCTATAAACAGAAAAATATTCTCATAACACAGAACAAAACATTCGCTCTGTACATAATCAGTACCTACCATTAATCAAACTCAACTTCTTAATATTTAAGTGGGCACAAAATTCCGATTAGCTACTTAATTAAGTAATGAGTCAATGAAGTGACAAAGCTTATCAGAGTGGTATCAACTTAAAATTGAGCAAACTTTATCTTTAAATCATCACCCTTAGAGTGTCACGTGATTTATAAGCACATAGTTTCAACTGCTTGTGAAATGTCATACCCAATCAGCTGGTAATATTTCCCTTCTATGTGTGCGCATTTCACTAAAAAGTCTGTTTAAATATTTGAAATTAATGCTGCATTGGCACTGCTGCTTTTAGAAAAAACGGCATATGAAAACAGATTTCGATATCTTGTAGCAAGTAATTTGATAAAAACGCAGTAGATGATAGAAAAAGCGTCTGAATGTGCCATCAATAATTTTGTATCAACCAAAAATTACAAGAATGTGCTCGTTTTTACGACTAGGATCGAATCGGTAGAGGATTTACAGCATGGCTAGCACTCAAAATTAGAACACAGACAAGTTAACATCAAACAGCACATAAGCGTCTTTAACGTTAGCCTCCTAGTAAACCCAGTACATACAATTATAAAACGAGTAAGTAAATAAAATTCCAATACATCATTTGCTACTTTTTATCCAAAAATTATCAACCCAGATTTATGCGCTTAACTGCCGAATTGCTGCAGGCTCTACGATAATTGCACTTTGTCACATCGATGCCCAATTTTATTGCTTAATTTGGTAATTCACCGTTTCACCTAATGTCTTAATTGCCACGCACTTCTTACACATCTTTTACCCAAACTACAGTCACTTTTAATGTGAGTTCACATTGAAAGGAAACATGAAAACCACAAACTTTTTGACAGCTTAAGGGAATTGTGCACTATTAGCTGGTTCTAGAAAACGACCTTCAAAATTCACGCCGTAAAATTTCATTTAACAATACACATTCATGCAATAATTTTGAAATGCGTTAGAAATGCTTGCTTGCCATCTGTTGTATTAACCCCAAAAATACCTCCAGTTTATTTGCTTTAACTTTATTTATTGGCTTTTAGACACCCACGTCCAGTTAGTAAGTACACTTTCAATATGGGAACCCTCCTGGCCAAGGACGAAGTCAGCTCAAAGGTAACTTTAATTCTGCATTCTAAAAGCACTGTATTTTGGAAAAATTTCCTTCACTCGCTTAAGGTCGCCCTAGTTAGTTTGACATTCCTTGCTTGACTGTTTGCTCAACTTCAGGAGTCAGTGGTGCAGTGAAACGCAGATTCGGTACTGTTAGTCGTTAAATATGCTGCTGCTAGCCGTTTACCAAGGTTCACTACCTTGTAATTCGGGTTTTTTGTCTTTATACCACTTTCAGGTCACCGTGGCTTCCTACATGCGAGTGAAGTTTACGACCAATCCCACACCGGTGATAACTGTGAAGGCAAGCCTAAAACATGACACCCTGACAAAGGTTATTGCAGTTTCAAGCACATCCAACATCAGTCTTGGGCGGCCATTTGCCACAAATGTGAGTTCCGATTTGTTGCAATGCTTCTTTAATGCCGTCGATGCACTAGAGCTGGACAATCTTCCATGTCAATAAACGATCTTTCTCTCACCAGAGTGACGTTGATATCTGTTGAGTTAGTTACTCTGTAGCAGTTATAATAAGACATACATAATAAGATGAATGGGGAAGTGATTTATTAGGCAATCACAACTGCAGACTTACTAAGTGAATCTGAGACTTACAATGTAATGCTGTCATTGCTAGGACATTTCGTTGTCACTCGCGGGACCGAATGTCATCAAAATGATGCCCAAAGAATGGACGGATCTCAGATTGCGCTTCTGTGCAGAACCCAAGGTGTACCTCAACGACTTGCAATTCGAAGCCTACTCAGAAAACGATACTTACGAGGAGGAAGTTCTCACAGTGAATCACTTGTGGTTTAGCGCTTCAGCGAACTACCCAGGCATTAATTATGCCCCACCAGTGGTCATGTTGCATAAAAGAAAGCCAAGTGGTCAAGTATGGCGACGAAGTATGACCTTCGGACCTGTGTTGAACTCAGGTAAGAAAATATTATCCTGATTTTTTGGTCAGGCCGTTCAAGGTGATCTTGTGGTTCTTTAGAATATAGGAACCAAATTTTTAACGCCATGTTGTTAAATTCCCCACTTAAACACGTTAAAGCTTCTTCATGTCAGACTATGTCGTTCAGTCTAATCAAAACTGATCTAATTTAGGATATTTTGAGAAATATTCTGTATACTCCATCTGCAAATTCCTGTATGGAGATAAGTGGCCTTGAAACGGAAAATCACATGGTCAAGTAATCAAATTGGCATGCAGGGCAAGTAAACTTCACCAAGGCTTCATGCCCATGACTATCGAAGTGGCACATGCTTCTGATGTTTACAAGACCAAGAGGTCTACTGCGTAATTCACTGTTGAGACTTTTGTATTAGCATGGCCAGGTGCTTTTTGTTTGTACAAGGCCACGCTTACTGGGAGGATCTACGGAAGCCAGAACGAGACGCTGATTGTATCACCTTAGGAGTGCGAATCCAGCTAACAAGTGGCCGAGGAGCAGTCGATGGCAGCAGATATGGAGTTGTCGTGAAGGTCGTCGCAGATGCTATGGTCACTTTAACCGACAGAGTGGACATCGCAGTGCGCGAGGCACACAACCCATTCCTCGACGTGGACCTGGGATTGATCAGCCAACCCTCGATGAATGTGTGGGTTACTTTTGGTTCTTTTTGCAATTGCATTTACGAGAACCACCAATTATCACCGTACGCTGTGGCCAAGTGTGTCCTGATATTAAGCACTCAGTTCCCACGTAAGCCTTATACGGTAAATAATTTTAGTCTGAGCAAATCTTTTCAGAAACATGGATATATCGAGCATAATCAGGCATCCTTGCCATTGCTTGAGTATCTAATTTAGCATTTTACAAAAAATGTTTGATAGTCTAGTTAAATTTTGTTTTTCGAACCTGCCTCACATCAAACCAGAATTGCATTTCTAGCTGCTAGTACGTGAACCCCACAACCAACCATGCAAAATTACAAGAAAACGGTGCTCAACGAGTGTGCCAACTTGTCTACAATATTTGACCCTTTAAATCAATTTTCTCCTATAGGATGGGGCTTGAATGAACTCCAACAATATGACCTCATCCTTAAACCGTCTTGTAAGACGCCGCTGGTAATCAGTATAATCAACGCATGTAATTTTGACTTACAACTGGAGAGAGAAAACAATGTTTAAAAAGTTTGATGATTTGAGTATCGACAGTTACACACACTAAACTAAGCTGCCTCCAATCAGGCTACTACTTGCACCATCAGCTTATCGAAACATGGGTCCGTTTACTAACTCTTCGCGTTCCGTACACAGAA